CAACAACAACAACTCTGTGACCATGTGGGGCTTGCACTCACAACCCCGAGGTCAAGAGTCACACGTTATACACATTGTGTACCTCATGCAAATGAGTAGTGGTGGTGATGGGTAAGGTCAGATAGGTAGCTGGGGCCATTTCATGTAGGGCCTTGCAAGGTATTTGGATTTTATTCCAGGGGACATGGGGAGCTCTTAGAGCGTTTTAAGCAGGATCTGGTTTTAATAGTTCATGGCAGCTTTTGGGTCAAGAATAAAGCAAGATTTAAAGATTCTTAAAGAGACTAAATAGCTATAGAAGAGACCATATGTTAGTTTTATAATCAGGAAAGAAATTAAACATATATATTTTTTGAGAAAGCGTGAGTGCAGGGTTGAGGGGAGGGAGAGTGAGAATCTCAAGCAGAGTCCATGCCCAGCACGGAGCCCCACATGGGACTTGATCTCACAACCCTACGTGACTGAGCTGAAATCAAGAGTTGGGCACTTGACCGACTGAGCCACCCACGCTCCCCCCAGAAATTAAATATTAAAAAACTGTTTTTGGCACCTCAAATACCATCAGCTTCTTCCGTTGTCATTTCTTATGAAAAATCAGCTGAGTTTGATCTACAAAATAGGTGTATTGGTACTTAGGATTGAGGGAAAACTAAAGGATTGAAGGCTGGCTAAAATGAATAGGTAATCAGAGCAGGATCTAACTGGCTGTGCTGGTCTCTGCAAATGATTTCTGATTAACTCAGAATGGAGTAGAGAAGTAATCATTATATAAGGTCGACTTTAGGCATATAATTAGGAGTACAACGTAAAGGGAATGTAGAGAATACCCTGTCTGACTATTAATATGAAACCATCTCTGACTCTGGGGGTATTTCAGTTATCTTCTCAACAAACAATCTCAAAACTAAGGGACTCCAAGCAGTAATGACTCAGAGGTTGGTGTGGCAGTTCTTCTCTGTGTGGTGAAGCTGAGGTCACCCCTGCAGCTTCATTCAGCTTGGAGCTTGATTGGGGCTGTAATAGTCAAGACCGCCTCTCATTCTCTGGCTTTTCAAGAGCACAAGTGCTCCTCAAGGCTCTGCCTGCATCATGCTTTCTGATGGCCAAGGCCAGAGTCCGTGTGCGAGGGAACTAAACGAGGGCATGACTCCAGGATGCATCATTCCCTGGGGCCACCAGTGTGATAGCCTGCCACTTGGAGTCACAGGCTTTTGAAATTTTAAGACACTTAGACTCTGGCCTTTAAGACTGCAGTATAACGGAATCTTCTATAACTCCTTTTTTACATTTTCAGTGCATAGTTTTTACATCTTCTGTTTTGTTCTGAGGTCTTCCTGCCTATACATACTCTCTATAAACTGCTATTCTTTAGATAGATTCAGTGATCATCTTATTGCTATTTTGTCCTCTTTATGTCCCTTCTTAAACATATGGTCAGCATAGTAATGGGCACTCTATGTCCCTTCTCTTTTCACCACAGGTTTATTATTTCCTTTAAATTATGATCTGGATGACTGAGATGCCCTCCATTCATCGGTATTAATCCAGTACCTACTACGTCTCTTTGTCTGGGTAGCAGGGTAACAGGCCTTTGTTTTAAAGGAGCTCACATTAGGGTAGGGAGTTAGTAAGAACAAAACCATTTCAGCTAGTGATAAATAAAAGAGGCCAGAAAATAAAACAGGATGATGTGATGGTGAGTGGGGCGGAGGTGGGGAGCTACTTTAGTTCACCCGGCAGATCCGGTCTTTCTAAGGAAGGACATTGGAGCTGAGACCTGAATGATAAGCAGCCATCCATCCTGACGGATAGGGTGACCAACCATCCCAGTTTACCTGGGGCTGAGATTTCTCCGGTCATGGGACTCTTGGTGCTACAACCAGGACAGGCCTGGGCAAACTGGAATAGTTGTTTAATCCAGGAAGAGGGAACAGCAAGTCACAAGGCCTGGAGTTAGGAGGAAGCTTGGCATTTTGGAGGTGTGACAGAAGGCCAGCGCGGCCTAACACATAGTGAGAAGGGGTGAACAGAAGCCGGTGAGGCTGGGAAGTCCATGGAGGATGGACCGTGTGGGCCTTAACAGTAGTTTGGGTTTAAGTGTCTTGGAAAGCCACTGCAGGGTTCTGAGACCAGAGGGACATGGTTTTGTTTATGTTAGTGAATGATCATTGGCTGGTGTGTAGAGAAGAGAGCATGAGGCTGTCAGGGTAGAAACGGGAGACCAGTTAACAGGCTGGTTCAGTGCTCAGGCTTAAGATGATGGTGTCCTGTGCCGGGAGGCAGCCAGGAGGGAAGCTTCTTGGCACTACTAACTCGCTGCTGCTTACTCCTCTTAGGCTCTTTCCCTCCTTTCTAGATCAGTCGCTTTTCCATCCTGAAGAGCTTCTCTGCCAAGTAGAGGTTCCCAGATTTACCACTCTGTGCACCAAACCGCAGCCCTCTTAGCTTCCCCCCCGCCCCCGCCCCGTGCTGTATCAGCTGCTTGGTGTTTTCACAGTACTTGAACACAATGGCATAGTTTTTTTTAAGGTCTCCATTGATTGTTCTCATGGGGCTGGATTGGGTAATGCTTTGAATGCTGAGCTTAGAGTGTTTGATTTTTATCTTGGATGGCTTTGAAGGGTTCTTCCTTGAGTTGTGGGACATAAATAGAGCTATGCTTGGTAAAGGTTGCTCTAGCCTGAGGGTGGGGGGGGAGAACGATGTGGATGTGTTACATTTTAGGCGATAGTAGGCTATTCGAGAGGAAATGCCGGGGAGTGGGAGGCAGTCAGAGAGGGTGGGACTGGATCTCAGTAGCAAGGATGGGTCTGTTTATAGGAACGTGGGAGTCACACCATGAAGAGGTGGGATTAGATTTAAGTGAGGACGCTGGTTTGTTTATTCAGCAAGGCATCAAGTATTTATTGCTGTCCTGAGTGCTGAGGATGTTATGGTGAATGAGGCAGGCAGAGTCCCTGTTCTCGGGGAGCTGGCATTCCTTCCGGGTGGGGGAGGTAGAAGAGCAAACAGTAAATGAATTAATGAATAAGATAACTTGAGAGAACAGTAAGCGCAGTGTGGGTAACAGAACAGGGTGATGTACTCTGGCTTGGGGAGGGGTGGAGGAGATTCTTCTTTAGATTGGTAATCAGGAAGGTCTCTTTGAGAAGGTGATATTCTACCTGAGACCTGAATGATCGGAAAGAGCCAGCCATGGGAAGATCTACGGACAGATTGTTCCAGGCAGAGGTCTTAGACACCAGAGGCTGGGTCTAATCTTAGGCAAGCTTCTGCTTAAGTAAGTGGAGATGTGGAACCAAAAAATATGAGAGCAAGGAAGACAGGGACTGTGTTGGTTCTGCTCTCTAGCAGAGTACCTTACACGGAAGTAAGAGTTCGTATTAAAAAGACATAAACCAGGATTGTGTTCTACCAAACTGAGGAAAGAGAACCCCAAGAAGGCTGGCAACCATGGCAGAGCCCATGTGGAAGATAAGGAAGAGGTAGATGGTTTTGGTTTCAGGTTATGCGTAGACCATCAAGGATGTCCACTTGTTAGAGGGGGTGGAGTTAAGTGCCTCTAACGGGGGAAGAAATAGGGGCAAGGAAATAGAAATAGCATTTTTGGGCTCCCCAAGAAATCCTTTCTCGTATCACTTGTGAATGCGTCATAAAAGTCTCCCCAACTATGTGCAGCCCTCTCTGGGACCTTTCCTGGCTGTGCTTCTGAATTTGCTTGCTTTTTCTTCTTCTCTGTGACCAACCTTTCACATTGGACTCCTTTGCTTTTTATTTGCTTCTGTTAAGCCTTGCCTCTCTGCACTCATATTCCCTCTTGTCTCTGTACCTCACAGCAGCAGGCCAGTCCCACTTGCCTTTGCTGGTGGCACCAGTTTCTGAGGCTCTAGCCAGTCCAGGAGCTTGGGTCTAGGAGGGGGCAGGGAGATGCAGAAGCTGCATGAGACGTAATTTGAGGCCTTTCGCCAGCAAATGGAAGTGGAGAAAAGGGAGGGTGCTTCCTTGGGCCACCAAGGTCTTGTTGAAGGTCTGTGTATACTTGAAACCAGCAAGAAGGAAAACATAAGGGAGACTGACGGTAACGGGGCAGAAAGGAGTTAATTAAGGGAGCAGTTAGGAGGCAGAAGCGGAAGAGTTAACCTTAAACTGCAGGACGTAAATGCATTTCTTCCTCTGAATTAAGAGGAAAGGAAGGATAAATGAGGCTGAACACAAAGATACTTGAGTTGGAGGAGAGAGGAGTGGGAGCAGCTTCCAGTAAGAGGTCTGGATCTTTTTAGCAAGAAAGACCCGCTAGGTGCTCTGCTTAAAGTCAAGCTCGAAATTGAAGGAATTTTGGAATCCCCACTGCAGAGATTCTGCTGGGGAATCAAGTGTTGAAGGAAGAACTGCCGAGCACCAGCAAGGATCCAGCTGATGTTGGCATGTATTTTTAGCAGACAAAGTCTGCCTTTCTCTAGGATTGCTGTTCCAGTGCCCAAGCTGCTGGGGCTAATGTTAACTGCTGTCAATACAGAATTTGGATTTTAGCTACTAATTATATTTCAAGAAGACGACATCTTCCTAGTTGTACTTAATAGTAAGTCAAAAACGGATTGATTTGTTTTCCTCTCATCTTACTTGTACCTGTCAGAAGCTTGTGATTAGTGAGAGCTGCCTGTGGAATTCAATATAAGGAATTTTAATCAACAACCTTTTGTAGAACCTATTAAACTTGGCTCGCTAAAAGAAACAAAAATTAAAAAATAAAAAATAAAACTTGGCTCGCTGCTTTTAGAATCTATGCTGTTAGGAAAAATGAAAGCTCAAACTTGCCTTTCTTTTGTTCTCAGTAGTTTCTGTAGAACACTTAAGTTTTGAGGTGTACATCTACTCAGGTGCAATTTTTGGAAATGCTTTTAAGCAACCAGATCACAGTGATACAATTTTTGACTAGAAATCTGCTGACTTGGTAGAAACCAGTATCACTGAAGGCCGACCTGTTTTTCTTTAAATGCTAGGTTGAAAATGGTGTATTTGTAGCCAATCCACTTCAGGAACGCACAATTCTAATGAGAAAAGAGGGCGAATCTGCAAAAAGCATTAATGAGATGCTTCTGAGCAGACTTTCCCGCTACAGAGCTTCCCCGTCCGCCACGCTGGCCGCCCTGACTGGCTCTACCATCTCCAACGCCCTGAAAGAGGACCAAGCAGGTATGCTGCCCTTCGCTCACTCTGTCGGTTTACCTTGTGTACTCCGTTCGGCTACGTATGTATTTTTTAAGACTTTCTTTTTTGGAGCAGTTTTAGGTTCATAGCAAAATTGAGAGGAAGGTAGAGAAATTTCTCATAAACCTCCTGCCCCCGACGCATGCACAGCCCTCCCCATTATCCAGAGGTGGTACATTTGTTGCAACTGGTGAACCTACAATGCCATAACATTATCACCCGAAGTCCAGAGTTTACTGTTGGTGGTGTGCGTTCTGTGGGTTTGGACAGATACATGATGACAGGTCTTCACCATTATGGTATCGTACAGAGTAGTTTTACTGCCCTAGAAATCCTTCGTGCTCTAGCTATTTATCCCTCCTTCCCCTAATCCCTGGCCACCACTGATCTTTTTATTGTCCTCCTAGTGTTGCCTCTTCCAGAATGCCCTATAGTTGGGAATCATTTGTAGCCTGAAAAGATTGGCTTCTCTCACTTAGTAATCTGCATTTAAGTTTCCTCCATGTCTGTTCATGGCTTGATACATTCAGTTTGTGGTTAGTGAGACCTGCCTCTGGAATTTGGGCAGCACTTTTTTTTTTTAAGTTTATTTATCTTTAGTAATCTCTACACCCAAGGTGGGGCTTGAACGCACAACTCCAAGACCAAGAGCGCGTGCTCCTCTAACTGAGCCAGGCAGGTGCCCCTCAGGCAGTACTTTTTATTGAGTGCTTATATGGTGTGCCATACAAAGCACGTGCCTTTATACATAGTTCACCTTTTTCTCTCCTTCTGGTCATCCTTTTTTTTTTTTTTTTTTTTAAATTCCAAACCAATACATGTTGGCTATAGACATGAACTGGCATGAATCTATAATAATTCAAAACAGCTCTGTCTTTAACTGTAAATACCGTATCATTATTGTTAATGTAAATTGATTTCATGTTTAGCATATGCTTCATAAATGTAAAAAATTCACGTTTAGCATTGTCTTCACTAAATACAATCTTGGCCAAGCAAATGAGAGGCAAACCTTCCACAACGGAGGTTGCTTTTTCTAGAATTTATCATTTAGTATTTGCACTTTAATATTTTAAAATAGATAATGCATTTACAGAGTTTGAAAGTAGAAACAATGTAAAAAAGTACTCTCACATCCTGGCATATTATTCATTTTGCCCCCACACTGCCTCCTATAGGTAATTATATTTATTAGTTTTTATTTAACCTTACAGAATTTCTTTATGCAAACACAATTAAAGACAAATTTATGTGTTCTTATTTTCCTTCTTTTTAAAATAAAAGGTAGCCTACCAAACATGCTGTTCTGTCCTTTGAAGCAAGAGTTCTCAACTGAGATAAACCCTTAAGAGGCTCATGAACATACTCCCCAAAGCTTTATACATCTTAAGTGTATCCATCCTGATTTTCACCAAACTTTCAAGGCCACCTATGACCAAAAAAAGGTTAAGAACCATTATTCTTGATGAGTTTGCGGATTACACCAACTATGTGACTCTATAACAAATCATGAACTGCAGTAAAAGATAAGGCTAGAAAATATGCCATATAGAAAAATGCATCTGAATTAATAGATGTTTAACGAATTTAATGCAGTTTTATGCTTTAATCCTTTCATATACTGAAATGTTGGGAAGAGAAAATATTTGTGATTAATTTGTTGTGAAGCTATCAAAATACTTATTAGTTCATATTAGAACTTAAGGATAGAATTTTATTTTTATGGGTCCCTATTATATCAAATATAAGTGAGGAAATTATTAATAATTGTGCTAACTTGGGTATATGGATAATTTGAATGGTAGAAATTTTACAAAAATAAACAGCTTCCTTGATCTGGGTTTATCCCTTGGGAGAAAACTAAATCCTACCCTGAACAATAGAAGTACTAAAGGAATCTTTGTTGGAGAAGGAAATATGGGTGAAATCAGAAAGAGAGCTCAAAAGGCAAGGGTATATTTAGAACTCTGTGAAAACTGATACTGTATTCGAAACATGTGAGCTCATACTTTTATATACATTCTCTGCACATTCAGTAACATGATGTTGCTACATAAAAATTCACCAGTTATTAGACTAAGTGACTTTTGACGATTCAGCGTTCAAAGGGTCTAGAATGTTTTCCGGGATAAACTAATACCTGTTACCATGTTAATATGATGTCTATTAAAACATCTTGTTGAAAATGTTATGCTCACAAAGTTGCTGATTTTCCAGTCATTGCCCCTTTTGGGTTTCTTACCTGTGGAAATGTATGCCCCTGAATTTATGTCCTGAATGAAGAATATACTTGTTGAGGATGTGGAGTTTTAAATGGAGCTGTTTAGAAGCACAGGCATTCAAAACAAGTATCAGACAGATTAGATTTCACTTTTCTCATTTTTCTAATCTAAACCATCTGAAGACAATTTTACATCTATCTGGGCAGTTCTGTTTTATACCCTGACAGCTTCCTAGTTTGTAAAGCATTCCGACTGACTTTCTGTTGCCATTATCAATCCTCACTAGAGTAATATGTAGGAAATCCTTAATTTTGCATTTTCAGATCTGCCAGTGAGGAAGAGAGATTAGAGTGCATTTTATACCTCTTGATTAGAATTAATAATTATTTAATGATAGTTTATGTCACTGACCCTAAATATATGTATTATATATTTTATAAGGGGTTATCATAAATCATGCAGGTGTAGAATTATTCTGTTATATTGTGAAAGCTTTTGTTTTCATTAATTAGTTATAGGTTGAAATTTCTGGCTGATTTTGTGTTCAGAGCTGTTTGTAATGAATGTAATAAGCCAAACCTGTTAAGAATTTATTCTGTATAAAATGAAAAGATGCCTGTTGGAGTGCAGTTTTGGGAAACACAAACTGTAGGATTCTTCTTTCATTCTGAAATCTAGTCCATGTGAGGATTCATTCTTTTGAGAGAAGTTTTGAGATATAAAGGAATATTGAGTATTGGGAACATCTTTAAGAAATGTTCAGCTCATGAAACGGGGGGCTTGGGGCCAGGCTACTTATTTCTCCTTAGTTTACCAATTCTTGCTGTGTGTTCTGAATCTGGGCATATCCTTGTTTGAATAGGGGCCCCTTCGCTATACTGTAATCTGTTTTGGCAATCAAATTAATCTGGTGTCAAATACTTATCACCATTTTCATCCCTTTCACCAGCAAATACTAGCTGTGGGCTACCTCTGAAAATGCTTCGGAAGACGCCCATCTATACCTGTGGCACATACTTGGTGATGCTGGTCCCACCTCCAGGGGGATCAGGCAGCTCTGCCACTCGTTCTCTTTTTGGTGGAACAAGTGGCTTGTCGTCTCTAAAAAGTAAGTGTATTTTATTTGTAGCACTTTGCCCAATTTGTTTCTAACTTTGCAATTTAAGGCTTTTCTATTAATGATGTTAAACTTCCTCTGTTAAAGTTGTTTGCAGTAGCTCGTTGAAAACAACAAAACTTAGCAATATATTTATAGGTTAGGAGGAATTAAAACTATAATTTTTGTAGATATAGTAGATATTGTAGATATAGTAGAACACTTCTGAAAATCATCATCCTGTAAAAAATTACTAGAAATAATGAGTTCAAGACAATTTTAGGAAATAAAATACTCTATTGCCACATTATTTACTGATGACACTATGACACTATGAATAGAATTCCAGAGCTATTAAATAAGTATGTGAAATGCCTCCATTTTAGGACACATAAAATGTGAAGCCAAAAAGGTCTAATTTGGAAATAAATGCTGTTAATTAAGTATACATATGTTTTTATAAAAGAGGGAGGCATATTATAGTAATTAAAGCATTGTGATTTTGGCTTCAGAGTAGACAAATAATTAAATGGAATAAAACGTAGAGTCAAAATCAAGAGTCAAAAAAATGTTTCAGGGCATCTGGCTGGCTCAGTTGGTAGTGTATGTGCCTCTTGGGTGTGTGTGAGTTTGAGCCCCACATTGGGTGTAGAGATTACTTAAAATCTTAAAAAAAAAAAAAAAAATTACATTGCCATTTTCTAGCCTTCTTACCTTAGGGACATCATTTGACCCCTCTGAGCCTCAGTTTACCCACCTGCTGCAAAGAATAAAAGGAAAAGAGTATCTCACACTATTGTTTGGTGATCATATGCAATAAAGTTATGTTGGAGTATTTCTAAGAAATGGCAAAACCTCAGTTGTTCCTTTCATGTATGGTAAACACTTTTTTGTGTTTTTCCTTGAAATTTGTTTAGACATACAAAATTAAAATGTTTTTAAAATCTTTGTTTTCATTCCCAATATTTTCATATTCTGTCCTTTCAAAATAATTTACAGTTATCCCATTAAAGGATTATATTTCACATGTAGCCTTTTAAATTCGTACTCTAAGCCTGAAGATATAAATTTGACCTCAGCAGTTTATACAACATCATGTATCTAATATCAACCTTTAGGCCATTTCAAGTACATTCAACACATTGCATGTGTTTGGGATTTAGATATTCGTAACAACTCAGTGCTCTGCCTTTAGAATCAAATTGGTTGGACTTTTTCTCAACAGCTTGTTTTCTCTAACAATTCACGTGACCAGGATGTCCCTTTAGCCCTTGAATAAATGATAACAAATTTACTATTAGTCTTTTTTTTAACAGTAGCTTTATTGAGATACAACTTACATACCATAAAATCCACACCTTTTAAGTCTACAGTTAGTGGTTTTTAGTATATTCAGAGTTGTGCAACCATCACCATTATCTAATTCTAGAACGTTTTCCATCACTTCAAAAAGGAACCTCCCTCCCATATCCATTAGCAGTCACTCCCCCTTCTTCCCCCTTACCCCGGCCCCTGGCATCCACCCATCTACTTCTGTCTGTATGGGTTTATCCTTGGACTTCTCATACTTGTGGGATTACATATAATATATGTGCTTTTGTGACTGGCTTTTTTTTTTTTTTTTTTAATGTTTTTAAGGTTCATCCATTTGGTAGCAGGAATCATTACTTCATTCCTTTTTATGGCTGAGTTATATTCCATTGCATGGATATACCCCATTTTGTTGACATTTGGGTTGTTTCTACTTTCTAGCTATTTTGAGTAATACTGCTATGAATATTCATGTACAAGTTTTTGTGTAGGCACGTGTTCACTTCTCTTGTGTATGTACGTAGTAGTAAAATTCTGATCATATGGTAGCTATATGTTTACCCTTTGGAGGGATTGCCCAACTGTTTTCCAAAGTGGCTGCACCATTTTACATTCTCATCAGCAGCATAAAAGGATTCCAATTTCTCTACATCCTCAGTGACATTTATTTTCTGTTTTTTAAAATTATAGCCATCCTAGTGGGTATGAAGTGGTATTTCATTTGTGGTTTTGATTTGCATTTCCCTAATGACAAATGATGTTGAACGTCTTTTCTTGTGCTTATTGGCCATTTGTATGTCTCCTTTGGAAAAGTATCTATTCAAATCCTTTGTCCATTTTTAAATTGGGTTATTTGTTTATTTACCATTAGTCTTATTAAGCTCTTTTTAGTCTCCTTGGCATGGCTTTGTCACTCAGTTGAAATTGGCCTTCACGGTGCTATTTTTTCATGAGGCTATAGCATACATAGTGATTCTGTTTTAGGCCAACAAATCAGTAAATGCTTAAATTTCTTTGTCCTGTTCCACATTGGTCGCTGTCAAGGCTACTCAGTAAGTGCAAGTGGTGCTTGCCTCGAGAATCTCCTAGTCTGGTTGGGAGAAATGTTGTCAGTGTGTGAAACAGGTAGAAAATAATGTGCAATGCTGTATCACCACCTGAACCGTGGGGAGCGGACGAAGTGCTGCAGAATCTGACAGAAAGGGTCATTGCAGAGGGGGGTAGAAAGGAGATATATCCTGAGGTCTTGAGTTTAAGTCAGGAAAAACAGGTATTATGCATATACGTGGCCAAGTTGGGGGAAGACCATGCATGGCAAACACAATGAAAAAGAGATTTGGGAAGATCGTTTGTTGGTGGGCAGGTTGGCACAGTGGAAAGTAGAAAAGGACAGTTTTTTTTGTTTTTTTAAAAGATTTTATTTTATTTGTCGGAGAAAGAGCACAAGCAGGGTTAGCGGCAGGCAGAGGGAGAAGCAGGCTCCCCACTGAGCAGGGAGCCCAGTGCGGGACTCGATCCCAGGACCCTAGGATCATGATCTGAGCTGAAGGCAGACGCTTACCCGACTGAGCCACCCACGTGTCCCGAAAGTACAGTTTAGATGATAGCTTGGATCAGGCCTGATGAGGACCTGGATTTCAAAGGGGATGGGAATAAGAAAAAGGAACTCTAGAGACAGTGCTAGAAGTTTATGTTTGAACGTGGGGAAATAAAAATATGTGCTGGTGCAGTTCCTGTAGAAATGTTTTAACTTAATCTTCACAATAACAATATAAGGTAGGTACTTCTATTATCTCCACTGTGTATGTGAGGAAACAGAGGTTCAGTACATTTTCCAGGGTCACACAAAAGTGGTAGAACTGGAATTCAACCCAGAAGCCTAGAGCCCATGCTTGTTATCACTGCACTATCCTGTGTTAAGGGAAAAGGCCAAAGTGTCTCCCTAGTTTTAGAGTAGTGCTTTGAAGGACAGCAACCTAGCTGTGTTTGAGTGTCCATTAACCTTTATTGAACAGCAACTATATATAAAGTTTTCTTGTAAATGGTATTACGTAGTGATGTTAGTGATCATAATTCCTCTTGCAATGACCCTTTTGATAATCTATATTGAAAATATATGCAAAAGTTGCCATTTTTTTTAAAGATTTTATTTGTTTGAGAGAGTGTGAGTGTGGGGGGAGAGGTAGAGGGAGAGAATCTCAAGCAGACTGCTTGCTGAGCACAGAGCCTGACGCAGGGTTCAGTCTCACAACCCTGAGATAATGACCTGAGCTGAAATCAAGAGTCAGGTGCTTAACTGACTGAGCCACTCAGGTACCCGGCAAAAGTTGACATTTTAAAAACATTTTGAAAAATAGGGCTCACTATTTAGGAGGACATTTGTGACTGTTTTCTTTTTTTAAGATTTATTTATCTATTTATTTGAGAGACTGCACAAGCAGGGGGGAAGGGCAGAGGGAGGGGGGGAGAGAGTGAGAGAGAGAGAGAAAAGCAGATTGCCCGCTGAGAGTGGAACCTGACAGAGGGCTTGATCCCACAACCCCGAGGTCACAACCCAAGTTGGGTGCTTAACTGACTAAGCCACCCATTTGCCCCCTTTTTTTTGTGTTCTTATGTTTGTATTCTATCTCCTCATTGTTACCACCAACAGACAACAAAAAAGGTGTGATTTTTATGGAAGTCTTGTTAAGAGCTTAAAGTTTAAAATTTGAAAAGTAGACTATCATTGTGAGGCTTATTAAACAGCTTAATATTTGTTTCCAAAGTCCTTGCCTCTAGCTTGGTGTATAATATTTCGGATGGTCAGTTCACAAGTCGTGCCGATCTCATAGATGCTGCTGGAAGCTCGTTGGGGCGTGGTGCTCTTGTACCAGGATTGGGTAAGAAATGCCCACTTTGCCTTAGAAAATTCAAACTTTTAGCAATTTCTCTCAAAAAATCTTGCCAATTCCTTTTTCTTGTAAGAAATAATTTTTTGATGCCACTGTTTAATTCTAAGGATCAACATAAGAAACGGCCATAGGTGACATTCCTCTGCATAAATTGCTACTGAAGATACTGTCCATTAGGTTGTATGATGATGCCCGTAACAAATTCTTCTCAAAGTTCATGCTGTGAAGAGGTTTATTTCCCATGAGGCATTGGCATGCTTCTTATTGTTAGGAAATGAACATTATGTAACGTATTGGATTTTCTCTTTGCCTTGGCTCCTAGGAAGCTCATCTTTAAGTTTTGGGCTTGGTTACTAAGGCTTTTACTGTGTGTTAATGTTCACTACTCCTGTTAATACCTGGGTTTTGGGTTAAGCCACTTAAATCCTTTTGGGAATTAAAAGGGTCACAAATAAGTTAGTTACTAAGAACTGTCTATTCCATGAGACTTATTCCATTCTCACACAGGAGTTAAAGTAGAAATTGAGTCCTGCCTTCTTGCTGAGCCCCAATCTAATGCTTTGCCAGATAAATATATGGAGATAGGGATGTGGATTGTCAGCAGCAGAGAGAGTTGCCCTTCCGTTCTTTAGCTGTGCTTTGGAGGAATATGTATACAGACAGAGGATGACATGGCAGTTGGATGAAGTGTGCTCTTTCTGCAGGCGCCTGTTACGATACAGTGAACAACATGCTGTGGACGTGCTCGAATGATTATATTGATCAGTGGTGTAATCCAGGGAACCAGGCCTTCCATTATGTTTGTCAGAGACTTGGAGTCAGCCACATCATCACTGAGCCCAAAGGTGAGGTGCACTCATGGTCTTACAGGAATAGATTTTTCCGTCATGAAATATGAGAAAACACACATAGCCCAAGCAACAAAATGTGTCAGCAGCTTTCCCACTTTGAACTTGAAACCTAACATCCTTGTTGCCTGATTGGTTTTTTTTTTTTTTTAGATTTATTTACTTATTTAAGAGAGAGAGCATGATCAGGGGGAGGGGCAGAGGGAGAAGGAGGCTCCCCACTGGGCAGGGAGCCCAATGTGGGACTCAATCCCAGGATCCTGGGATCATGACCTGAGCCGAAGGCAGACGCTTAACCAACTGAGCCACCCAGGTGCCCCGCCAGATTGTTTTATGATTAAATAAAGAAATATGTAAATAATAGAGGACTTGAGACTGAGAAAAAACTGTTATGTCACTCTGAAATTGTCAGAACTTTGGTGCAAAAGTTGATTATTTGTACTTGCCATGGTAATGTTTTGCATTGACAGCTTATTTATATACAAATTTAAAATTAGAATCACCAATAAAGGATCTGTATTTCTTAATATTAAGTTACTATTTTTTTTTTTAAAGATTTTATTTATTTGACAGAGAGAGAGACAGTGAGAGAGGGAACATAAGCAGGGGGAGTAGGAGAGGGAGAAGCAGGCTTCCCGCGGAGCAGGAACCCCAATGCGGGGCTTGATCCCAGGACCCTGGGATCATGACCTGAGCCGAAGGCAGATGCTTAACTGAGCCACCCAGGCGCCCCTTAAGTTACTATTAAAATCTCGTGGCTTCAAGGTCAGCTATAGTGGTATGGAGGAGCATAATCCTCTCCCCATAAAGCAATGATAAAATGGGCATGATTACCAAAAACAACTATTTCTAGGCTCTGGAAACTGACCAAGGGCATACACCAAGTTGAATAGTGAATATTCTTAAAAACCACTGAGCTTTGGGTAAGAACAGTGGAAGTCTGTTGTACTCTTAGCTGGGGATGCTCATGTCTCCCACCTTAGGCTTGGTCAGTGCAGTATTCTCACCAGGGTAGGGCAGATCATGTAAACCAGCAGCTTTGCTTCCAGAGGGGGCTGACCTGATTTGAAGCAATACATGGAAAAAATTCCTGCCCAGCAACAATGTCGGTAACAGTACCAGTCTGAGTGGCAAACCAACAGAGAAGACTGGTGGCCTAGCTCACCTGAGCTGCTCACCTGAGGCTGTGGTCATGATTAGGGCGAGCAGAGAACCAGCAGACTAACCAGAGATTTACTCATGAGCTCCGGGTAGCGAGGAAGTTACAGAGGGATTTGGTTAGCTACCTGTCCATCTTGTAGAAGAAGCTGAAGAGGGTCCAACCTAGGTGGTTCACACAGACCTGGCTGAGCAGGAGCCTACACATACGTGTGGAGATGTGAGAGGGTCTCACAAAGTAAAATCCAGGGCAGAGTTTAAAGCGTGTGACCCTTGGTGTGCTACCCCAAAACACACAGACCCAGCCAGAGGGCCATACTTACTTGGCTCAGGGTATTTGAGCACAGACTTTGACTCAAGACTAGATGATCCCTAGGAAACAGGCTTAAAAATAAAAAAATGAAAGTACACAGATGAAAGAAAGTAACAAAGTAGAAAGAAGAATTGAAAAAAACCCAAACCAAACAGAAGTCAGTAGCAGGCGAAACTCCGATGTAGATGAAAACTATAGCAGCCTTTATATATATATATTGAAAGATCTAAAGGAAACTCCATTGAAAAGATGCAAGTATGATGACTATGACTTAAAAAAAAAAGAATTTCAACAAATAAATTTTTGAAAAAAGAACCAGTTAGAAATTCTGGATTTGAAAAGTTCGATGACTGCAAAGAGCAGCTCAGCAGCAGATTTGACATGGTGGGAGAAATAAATCTGCAACATGGACGTAGATAGATAGAGTCATCCTATTTGAAGAGCAGAAAAGGACACTCTTGGGGAGTACTGGTCAGGTATTTTGTAGAATGTCCTTCAGTTTGGGTTTATCTGATGTTTTCTCTTTTTTTTTTCTAGATTTATTTGAGAGAGAGAGAGCATGAGCAAGGGGTAGGGGCAGAGGGAGAAGCAGATCCCCCCACTGAGCAGAGAGCCCGATGCGTGGCTTAATCCCAGGACCCCAGGATCATGACCTGAGTCAAAGGCTGATGTTTAACCAACTGAGCCAGTCAAGAGCCCCTGATGTTTTCTCATTTTGAACTGAGGTTTTAGATTTTAGGGAGGAATACCGCAGAGGTGAAGTGCTTTTCTCATTACATCCTATCACACGGCACGTGATATCAACATGATTTATTATTAAAATTGATCACTTGGTTTGGGGCACCTGGCTGGCTCAGTCGGTGGAGTGTACAACTCTTGGCATCGGGGTTGTGAGTTTGAGCCCCATCTTGGGTATAGAGATTACTTAAAAATAAAATCTTAAAAAAAAGAAAAAAATTGATCACTTGGTTTAAATGCCAGCTTTCTTCAAAGTTACTATTTTTTCCCTTTCCAGCTAGAAGCTAGTCATTAAGCCCACGCTTATGGGAAAGGGAATTAAGCTCCACCTCCTGGAAGGAAAAGCGTCCCAGAACTTGTGGACATATGTTAATCACCACAGTAATTAATGTTTTGAGGGAGGTGGTACTTTGAGGCTATGCAGTTATCAGATTTTTTTATTCTTGAGTTAGTTTGGTAATTTGTGTCTTTCTAGAAATTTGTCCATTTCATCTAAGTTTTCTTATTTGTCGGTATAAAGTTGCTCATACTATTATAATTTTTATAAGGCCAGTGGTAACTTCTCTACTTTCATTCCTGATTTTGGTATATGTGTAGATTTACTAAAAATCATTGAATTGTGCACTTAGAATGGGTGAATTTTATCTTAAATTCTATCTTGATAAGGCTGTTGGGGGATAAAGAAACAGCAGGGGCGCCTGGGTGGCTCAGTCAGTTAGATGTCTGACTCTTGGTTTCGGCTCAGGTCATGATCTCAGGGTCCCGAGATCGAGCCCCGTGTTGGGCTCTGTGCTCAGCAGGGAGTCTGCCTGTCCTTCTGCTCCTTCCCCTGCGTGCTTTCTTTCTCATAAATAAATAAACAAACAAACTTTAAAAAAAGAAAAAGGTCAACTCTATATTAGTGCCTCCCTAATTATTCTCTCCAAGCTTCTTGCTTAATCTCTAGATTATATATTCACCTGTACTCGGATATCTAATAGGAATCTTCAACTTGTCAAAAAACAAAACTCCGTTTTTTCCCTTCTCCAAATCTCTACCTGCTGAATCCCCAGTATGCTAGTATAGGGATCACAGTTCCTTCATATGCTTAAGCCACAAAATTAGAGTTCTCTAGGAGTCTTTCTCTCACAGTTCTCATCCAAATGGACATCAGCCAATCCTGTCAGCTCCGATCCTCAAGATAGATCCCCAATCCAACCATTTCCCACTATGCTGCTACGACTCTCACCTAGGCATTGGCGGCTTCAGCAGTTGATCACGGTGGCCAACTCCCTGGTTTTCCTTCCTACTTCCTCCACAGTTGCCCTCCTCCGCCCCCGTACACTGTCACACAGTAACCAGAGTCTTCTACAGTCTCTGTAGTCAGGTCTGTCCCTCCTCTGCTCCGTCTCCTCCAGCGGCTTCCCATCTAACTTGGAATAAACCTCATTTATTTGGGTAGGTCCCAGAGACTAGCTTTCAGAAAGTGTTTGGTGAGGACGAATATACTAATCCAAATTATTGTAAAGGCAAGGACTCAAGACACAGAAGAGTGTGGAACCCAGCCTAGCCCTCCAGTTAACATACAATTGAAAAGTTCAGTTTTGGCCAAGTTTACCTTCTTTTTGGTTTTCCACGAGTCCTTTCCTCATAGCTTCTAGTGCCCACGATCCTTTTGCAACTCCCAAGTTCCCCCCACCCAGACCCGCCTCTCCCAGATCGCCTGCTTTCCTGTTCCTTTAAGGCAGTTCATTTCAGCTGGTTTAAGAGGAAAAGCAGGTTTTTGGGTTTCATTGTTGTTGTTTTTTGCATTTTGCATTTTGCCTATTATTTTCACCTCCATTCCGTGAATGCCCATGACCATCCATGGGGTGTTATTATGTAAGAGGATTCTCATGAACCCTCAAGGTTGAACTGATGGCTCTCTAGGTTGTAGTGACTAAATGAGATAAAAATGGTGAGGTACTGTGGGAGGAGATATTTGTGGACCTGGGGTGGGGATGCAGTGGGGGTGGTGTTCTATCATAGAGAAGCCATAGAAGATAGATTTTACTAGATTGGTTCCAGCATGGGCTGTGAGCGGACTTGGACTGTATGCAAATCCCAGATCTACACTTAGTAGCTGTGTGACCCAGGGCGAGTTACTTAACCTCTTTGACATTGATTTACTCCTCTACAAAACGGGGCTAAAATAGTCTAAGTTTATAACAGGGTTGTAAGGTAATGCATGTAAAGCATTTAGCCCATTGGCTAACATATAGAAAGGGCTCTCTCAGTGGTTACTTAAGCTCCTTAAAAATGGGAATTCCCTAGTGTGTTCATTTTCATCCCAGCACTCAGTAGCAGGGAAAAGGATTCTCCAGAATTAGTGGAAAAGATGAGGACCAAGATATTCTGTCCTAGTGCACATGTACCTTTTGTAAACCAGAGTTCTGTTCCTTGGGGGGCCACGTGTGGAGATGTCTTTCCTCACTGCATTGCTTTTTTCATTTTTTAGAAGAGGCTATAACCACAAATGAGGTTATAAACCAATTATTGCACCACGTTGGTGCGATGTGCATACACCAACTCAATCTTCTTGCCACCAACCCCAATCTTCCAATCACAAGTGTCTTGGGCAAGCAGCATCCAATTGAAGCACACCATCTTAGCAGTATTTGTGACATTATGGAGAAGGCCATGGTTAACGGAGATACCTGTATCATACGCTGTATTCTCGTTGTCTTTCAGGTAAATGCACTTTTTTGACAGAAGTAAGATCATAGAGAAAAAGAAACCCAAAACCTGGTTTCAGCCAGCTAATTTCCACCAGAAGAAAAGTTTAGTAATATTCCCCTCTTGTATGTTAACCACATTCTAATCCTGTAATTAGAATTATAATTATATTCATTGCATTACAGTTAATGGAGTATTGCTGTAGGTAGCTCATTGCAATTAATATATATATATAATATTTACTATAATTATACTATTACACAATAGAGGAGATTGTGGTTAAAAATCCACCCGGATGTCTGTTCATAAGAATATCTACTATGTGCTTTTTTCATAGGGATAATTTTATCCCTAGTAGAATTAGCATTTTTAGATATACCCCTTATGTTTCCGTAGGTGGTATTTAAATTTTTCTTCAGCCCACAAACTGAAAGGAATCGAGACATCATTCGACGGTCTGGATTGCTGCTTTGGCAGTTGTTGATGGCACCAAAAGATCAGATTTGCCCTGAAATTCAGAAGGAAGTGTGTCTTGCCATCAGGTAATCTGCAGATGATTTTCTTCATGGTTTTTGCAAAATGCTTCTCCTGTGCTGCATTGTAATCTTTCCTGAAGTTCAGTAGCATAGAAGTCTCTTACCCCGTCCCACAGTCGGGACCTCGTGCATAGGGAGTAATTTAACCAGAGGGGCTTGTGGCCCCAAGCCATGTGTGTAACTACGTTCCTCAGCTTGCCTTTTGGATTTTGAAAGAAAAATAAAAGCAAAACCGTTGAGAGGATTTTTTGATGGTTGCAAGTGGATGTTCCTGTCGTTTAGGGAGAGTATGTGGCAAGGTGGCAAAGAAGCAGGTTTGGACAGCCAGCAGACCTGGCTGGGTTCTAGTCTTTGCTCTGCCACTTACAAGCTCGGTTCATGGCTTCCATTTCCTCAGCTGTAAAGTGTACATAAAAATAACACCTACTTTAAGAGTTTGTGAGATTTTTAATAAGATAAACCCTGATATAAAGTGCTCAACAATATTAGCCTTTTAAATTCTATTTAAAACCTTGGTAGAAAAGATGGCGGAATTTGTGGGCCATTTTCTGTTTATTATCATTTAATTTTTTTTTTTTTTTTTTTTTTTTTTAGTGCAGTGAACTTTTATCCAGGAATATAGCCTTAATGTGACCAAGTATAATTTAGTGACCAAGAGAGAACTGAATGCTTGGTCTGGAAGAACTGTCTGATGGGAGTGAGCAGAGAGGGAGGGTTTTTTTTTCCCCCCCTTCCATAATCGATTATGCTTTGGGTCTCTTTCTGTATTAAGTATTAAGGCAGTAATTTAAATCTGGTGTCATGAGGAAACTTCTGAGGGTAATGGGTATGTTCACTGCCTTGATTGTGGTGATGGTTTCATGGGTCTATGCATATGTCAAAACTTGTCATACTTACACTTGAAAAATGTGGACTTTATGTCAAACCTCATTTAAAAAAAAAAATAAATAACAGTTCTGACACTACTTGCAGTGCTTTTCATCTTGCCCTTTTGGAAAAGCTGAGATTTAGAAATTCCACTTCTCAAATGTGCTTTTGGCCACAATCTGGATATATACCTGGCTCAACTACATTGACTTTTTTTTTTTTTTAATTTATTTATTTGACAGGCAGCGAGAGAGGGAACACAAGCAGGGGGAGAGGGAGAGGGAGAAACAGGCTTCCCGCGGAGCAGGGAGCCCGATGCGGGGCTCGATCCCAGGACCCTGGGACCATGACCTGAGCTGAAGGCAGACGCTTAACGACTGAGCCACCCAGGCGCCCCTACGTTGACTTTTTATAGCTCAGTTCTCTTTAACCAGTTCCCTATCCAGCCTCAGACAAGATCTTATTTTGGTAACTCGTAGACACGAGAAGGAGTGCCTGTTTATCACAGAGGTGAATGGGCTATATCGTGACAGTGAATTTAGGTTCAGCCACTTTGTTAGTGATGAAGCTTCCCTCCGAGTTTTATGTAATCACACTGCCATCTTTTTTTTTTTTTTTTAAAGATTTTATTTATTTATTTGACACACAGAAAGCACAAGCAGGCAGAGAGGCAGGCAGAGAGAGAGGCAGAAGCAGGCTCTCCACTGAGCAGGGAGCCTGATGCGGGACTCGATCCCGGGACTCCAGGATCATGACCTGAGCCGAAGGCAGTCGCTCAACCAACTGAGCCACCCAGGCGCCCCACACTGCCATCTTTAATATAAATACAAATTAAAATATTTAGAGTTTGGATTTTCTAGAACATTTGTTGAAAAGCTTTTTGACTTTTCTGTCCTTTCAGCTCTGGTTTAAATATCTTATACCCCGGTGAAACCGAAATCAATAACTTACTGAAGCTGGTCTTAACGGAAGGTGAGAATTATCCTTGAATTCTCCTTGAACAGTCATCCCTTTTTTTTGTCCCTAAGGAAACCACTGGCTATTAAGATAATATTTCTTTTCTTCATACCTGTTAGCATTCCTCTTAAAATGTATCTGCACATATGCTAACGCTTCTACTGGGCCGAGAGCAGAAACTGTTCTATGTATCTTCAAGCTTTATAAACCTTTTTCTATCCACACCACTTAGCAGAAGGTGCCTGACGGTAGATGTTTAATGCACGTTAAAGATAATGACTTCTTGGGGATTTCTAAGTCAGTTTGTTTCCTCCAAAACCCAACTTTTAAAGTTAGACTAAACAAATGCAACAAAGTTCACCCTGTCAAAGACACTCTGCATTTAAAAGCAACATTAACTTAAGGAATTAGAGATCACGCTTTATGATGTATGAAGAGGTGACTTATGCTTAGATCAGGATGTACTGGTTTTAAAAAGTCTGATTGGTTGTGATGTTTTTGCTGCTGCTGTTTGTGTGAGTACATGTGCCTGGAGCCCCTAGATTGTCACCAGTCTGTTCCTTTCAGAACTTGTTTTGATACCCTCAGTTTTCTAAGTGTAATCACCAGGGTCATTTATGGAGCTTTGTTCTGTGTCAGGAGAGAGAAACAGCGGCCTCTCCCAGCTGCGGGATGTGATTCTAACGAATTTAGCTGAACAGCTTCAAAACAACCGATTTGGCAGCGAGGAGGATGAGCATTACAGGTGACACCAGTTATGCTGTTGACTGCTCGCCTTCTCTTTGTCTCTTTCCCAGTAATTAATTTACACTTAAATGTATTTGATCAATGTTAGTCTCCTGTAATATGATATGATAATTAGCATGTTAAGTCAAAATCACAGATAAATTGAAAGATAATAAATCCCACACTTGCCCTAAGAAGCGATGATAGCATTTTTCAGTTTTATCACCAGAGTACCTTAGGCCTGCAGAAAGGTTCTTAGTGGAAATAAGAGTTGGAGCTTATTTAAAAATCTTGGTGGAGGGTGCCATTCAAATCGCTGGGCTATGAGGGAGGGTAAGGGTGTGGTGAGAGCTAGGAAGGTGAGAAGGTGTTGGTTTTCTTTGCTGTTTATAAAATACTTGGACTGGGTGCTTGGGTACCATTTTGTTCCTGTAAGTTTGATTTAGATAATACACCTGGTTGTTAGCATCATTACTGAGTAAGATGATTTACTTACAGAACCAGTTAATTTTGTGTCTTCTATTTGTCATCTCGTACCAATTGTATACAATTTATCCTTTTATTATTAAACCATTGGTATCTTACTGTTACATTTTTCCTGCATTTTAAAGACTAAATGATGAACTTTTACACTACATTCTGAAGATTGTTGTGCGGGAATCCTGTATCTTAATCACCAAGTGCCAAACTGTCTCTAAAGAGGATTTTCAAAAACTCCTTTCAACTGTGCCTGTAAGTAAAAATGTGTTTAATGAAGGCAAAATTATGTGTCCCTGTTTTCACGTTACCGTATTGAGGTGTGTATGTACCCATGACCGTAACACACACACTCTCCAAGGCAACCTTAGTTGATGAAAGTCAGTGGGTGACTGTTTCTCCTGGTAATACAGAACCGGACGAATCCACTTGGAATACTTTGTCTAAAGACTTTATTCCTCCTGCTTAAATGTCTTGATGCAGTAAATTGTTTGACTAAGTTTGGATGTTTTCATTTTGTTTAAAATAGGATTTCCCCTCCTGTTAATTTTCAATGTAGCATTGTTTTCTAAAGCATCACTGTTACACAGATTGGGAAGAGCCAAGAAATTCTCTTAAGGGTTTGGGTAGACTCTTCTCTAGTGGAGATGCATGAGAGAGGACGAGGGGGGGGAAGAAGAATTAATAAGGGGGACAAATTCAAGTAAGTATCTGTGTGATTAGTGTGAATTCTGTAGCAGAAGGCACAAAGTTACAGTAAATGTGTCAAATGACGTATCAAAAGCCATGTGGAAATAAGTCACCTGAGAAACTAACCTGGTCTGTTTTCTGTACTTTCTCTTTTGCTTCCCTTGTCCAAATCTTAAAACACATGAGGATTACATGACCCCTTCTTTCAGTAGGGTGTAGATCATCTAAATGCCCTTATTTGTATTAAAGGCTGCATCCTCCTGCCTGCGCTATCTGATGGCAGTTCAGAACCACCTTCTCAGTAACACTATTTTGATTAAACCCGATGAGAATGATGACAGTGACAACTCCTTGCAGGGAGAGACATTGAAGGTACAGGTAAACACCAAGCTTTCTTCTAACGATGCTTTCTACCCAGTGTGTAAAGCACAGCTTAACTGGCTGAATCTCTGTGTATTACGATGTCAGATGTCACCATGTGGCTTATGTTTTTGTGAGAGGTGATATTAGGCCACTCATTTCATAGGTTTTTGTCATTGCACAGTGGTTACCGTATTTGTGACACTCTCATAGTGTGTCATCCATGTGCTCCTGTCAATCTTTTTGTGCCTCGTTTATTTTCATCTTTTTAAAAACTATAAAATATGGCACTTACAAGTGATCTACGCATCTGAAATTTATGTGTATTTATAGATAAAATAAATCTGGGTGCATAACATTTGAAATAATTTTGACATTGTGGCTGCTTTGTGATATTCTCTCCATTCAAATAACTTCCAAAAGGTGATAATTTTCTCACAACCTCTATATCGAATAATTTCTAAACCTACAGTTCATTTCATCCTCTGTAATTATTTTTAAGTTAGCTTCTGTGTAAACTCAATAATTTGTTCCCACATTGCAATTTATAGCAATCCAAAGATTTTTTTTATAGCAGTGGATGTTATAATGTTGACAGATGCTGGAGGCTGTTATTTGCATTGTTCTTCAGAATTTCTTCTTTGTGAGAGAATGAGAGAAATCAATAAGAACTTGATTCTTCTTTAAAATGTTGACTAAAACACACTGAAAAATTAACAAGGACGCCAAAAAGCTAAAAGCCATTATAGTTGCCCTTTTCTTACTCCTTTACACATGCGTACTGTGAGACCCATACCCTTGCTAGTTCCTAGTTCCTGTTTATGAGGTGATCTTATTATAGAGTCAGTTTTTAAACAGGCAAAAGTGCATGAATTAATCATTTCAGCTGCTGATACTACTGATTAACTTCTCTTGCCTTAGTTTCCTAATCAGTGAGAAGGGGCAGTAGGTCTCCCTTGTGAGGCTCTATGAGGGTCAGAGCAGGAAATGCCCCCGCTGTGCTGCAGTCGGTCGGCACGCGGCAGCTGATGGCATCCATGGGACTTAAACCATGGTTTAGCCCGTCAGTTCAGAATTCCTTTTCTCTTAAATGATAAAAACATCTTAATAATTCCAAGAAAGGCCCCAGGAAAGTCCAGTAATGAAAACCAGTGTTTTCTCTTTGAAAGGCTAAATTCCATAAGTTCTTCATTAGCCCATGGAGAGAAATACTCGTGACAGAAGAGGCTGAGGTGTCCAGTATTTCTGGGAAAAATTAAAAACCCAGTTTTCACCTAAAGGGTTAGGTTGGTCGTATTTTTTTTTAATAGAAAATAATTGTAAACTAAATATTTCTGTGATTTTAACTAGTACTTCTTAACACATTATTTAGTATTTGTACGCCCATGAACTCTCTAATAGTTATTTTTAATGTTTGATAGCCTGTAACTGCCTGCTACTTTAACTGAATTTTTAACTTGCCTGCTTTCAAGTGTAATGGTTTAAAACATTAAGTAAAAAGGTCACTTGTACTGTTTCAGAATGTTGTGTTTTGTCTCATTTTATTCACCGCCTATACATGCGCCTTTTACTGTTCTGTTTTTCTCTTTAGCTATCCTCATATCACCCAAGGCAATCTTCCACCTGGACAGTTTCTGGTCTGGCCACCGGGAGCTCTCTTGTGCTGGAGGGGATGGGAGAAATGCCTTTTCTCCCAGGGACTCGGTGTGCTCCCCGTGAAATACTGCGTATTTCTGTCAGCACTCCAGACCTTAGCCTCCCAGATCAAATTGCTACTTGCCATCCTAGCGGAACTTACTGCTTTGGGCTTATTCTGGCCACCTCATTGTTTAATTTGGAAATGCATCATTAAATACATCATTCCATGTTGTCATTGTGAGTGTACACTCATCACAAAGCTGAAAAATAATAATATGGTATTTTCTGCCTAGGAGCTAAAGGTCAGTATTTTGGCTCTTGCCACCCAAATCCTGACTGGATGTGATGAAGTGTTGGAAATGCTACAGCAGGTCACAACTGCCCTCATAAATAGTGACCTAGCTGACCGTGAACAGAGGTGAGGAACTGGCTCGTGAGCTGTGACCCGCTGCCCTTCAGGAAGCAGAATTTGCTTATGAAAGCAAAATCTTTTAGAACATTGCATGTTCATTTAACGTAGAGGGATTTTTGTGAGAATAGGTTGAAACGGCAAGTGTTTCAATGCCAAGTGTGATCGAACTCTTTAATGGTGCTTTTCGGTCAGACTGGGCCAACAGCCATGGTCTAAGGGGGCAGCGAGGTTGTGGTGCACAGCCTCATCGCTGACATTCGGGTCTGCCACCATCGTCGCTCCCAAACTGGCCTTTCCTTCAGTTATCTGGCTCAGCACCTTGTGCACTGGGTTCCCTTGTGATAAGGACTTTAGAGAGGCAGAGATGACTTAGTAATACGGAAAATTAACTGCCGTGCAAAAGAGGACGCTGACGGGATGTCTTAAGATTTTACTGTAATTTTACTGCAAATACAGGAGTGACCTACATAGAGGGTAATCTTCTCTTTCCCAGTAATAAAGCTCTTTCTTAGTCCTCCCCGTTACAATTTCGGCTATGGTTTGCTCTACATCTGTGCTTATTGATGATTTTAATGTTAGAGATACTGATCCCAAACAACCCTGCAGTGTAATTTTTCCTCCTGTAGGCCTGTCTGTCCCCGTGTCCCTGTTTCTTGCCCATTCCCAGAGAGTAGGTGGCCAGGTTGGAACTGGGGACAGTATAGCCCAGATAGGCATTGCACTGGGGCTTGATAAGACACCAGGTGGAGCCCACTGCTGGCACACAGTGCAGATTTGTCCTGGGGAGGAGGGACAGTCTGAGAGCCTGAGAGATGGGAGGTCTGTTTCTTGTTCCAATCCCAGTTTCCTAAGTAGCCTTGGAGAATTTACATAACCCACATCTTTCTTTGGGTGAGTCACATATCTTAATTCTTCTAGCAGAGGTTTGGGATATTAAGAATGTGATTTTGGGTAATCATTTTACAATGTATACATATGTCAAATAATTATACACCTTAAATTTATACAGCCTTGTATCTCAATTACATCTCAATAAAACGGGGAGGGGGGTCATGTGATTTTAAAAGCAAATTAAAAATCTGTGTTGTAGCCAGTTACTTTTTCCCTGTCAGAGACCCCGCACCTGTGGCGCCAGGCCCCAGGGAACTTTGCACGTGGTAACTACCTAGAGTAGCCATTTGTATTTCAGAAGCCATTTATAAAGTGCTTCAGAGGTGCTACGAAATGCACTGTGTAAACTTTTTTAGCAAAACCACGGGTTGAAGGTGAAACCCATTACGAGATGTCTGTCCTCTCCCTCAGCGGTAGAAGGTGGGAAATTTGTGGACTGAATTGCTATCGCTGTAAGTGCTCAAGCAGTTCAAGGAAATGCAGTTTAAGAGAATTTGTTGGAGAAAGATGATGGTTGCTTCTTCACGTGATTAGGAATTGCTTAAGCTGTGTGTTTTCTTGAACTTCTTATAGGTTGAAAGGCTTGGAACAAGTTACTAAGGCTACTATGCTTGGTCACCTTCTTCCAGTGTTACTGACCTCGCTGATGCATCCAAATTTACAGACTCTGACCATGGCCGACGCCCTGATGCCTCAGCTAGTGCAGCTGGTGCTCTACACCAGTCAGGTACGACCCTCGCTGTGCCAAAGTGAGCTGCTCGTCGGCCAACCCACTTCACGCTGCGGCCACGTGCATTTGTTGAAGGCCGAGTAAACATAACCGTGTCTGTCATAAGCCAAGGGAAATAACAATGGAATGAAGAAAAATATCGTGTCATAAAAATAAACTAAATTATTAAGGGAAAACACATCTGTTTGACTAAATTACTTAGTGCAGTCTTATAGCAGGTGTGGATTGCCGGGTGGCTGTAAAAATGCTAAGCTACAATGCTACTGGGATCCTACCATTATATTCAGTTTCCTGAGTCCTTGCCAGCTACTGGTGACTAACAGAAAGGATATGTGCCATTCCGGCATTAAATAAAATGGTGTTAAGTGGTCTAAGTAGCAAAGCATTTCTTCGTGCAGGAGGGCAGACGAGGATCGTAAAAAGATGACTTAAGTGAGAATTCTAAATTTGGCTCTAGTACCATCCAGATACCTGACAGTAAGCACTTTAAGACATGATGATGGTTTTGTGTTTCAGACGGCTTTGCTGCTTAAAACCCAGTGTCCAGTTTTTGCCGAGGTGGGCTGTTCCCCATGTGGTGCATCAGACCAGAAGGGCAGGCTGTTCCCCGATGAGAGGTGAAAGATGCTGCTTCCTTGCAGGAACCCCTGCCTTGTTTTCTTCTGGTGAAAGCCTAGTTCTCCTTTTACAACACTGATTTTTAGCAAGGATTATGTAACTGGAAAAAGAGTCTAGGGTCAGCGTTTTACAGATAATTATAGAATTGCTTTGTAGATTTATAGGACCGGGTTAGAGTAAATTGCCCACACATCAAGAGATTAAAGATTGACAAATTCTCATATACCAGTGATGGAGATGTAAAATATTATGATTTTGGCAAATAGTGTGATGGCTTCTTGAAAAGTTAAACATACACCTACCACACGACCTAGCTATTCCACTTTTGGGTATTTACACAAGAGAGAAGGAGGCATAGGTTCTTACAAAGACTTGTATATGAAGGCTCATAACAGCCTTAGAGTAGCCCAAGACAAGAAACAACCCAAATGTCTATCGTCAGGTGAATGGATAAACGAATTGCAGTATATTCGTATGATGGAGTCCTACTCCGCAATAAAAGGGAGTGAACAGTTGATATACGCAACAACATGGGTGAATCTCAGAATCCTTATGCTGAGTGAAAGAAGCCAGATTCCCCCCCCTCCAAAAGTACATACTGTATGATTCCATATATAGGAAACTCCAGAAGATACAAACTAATTTCTAGTGATAGAAAGCAAAAAGTGATTGCCTGGATTACAAGAAGGAGGAAACTTCCTGAGTATATATGTCCAAACTTACCAAGTTGTACACTTTAAATATGTGTAGTTTAGTACATGTCGATGAAACTTAAAGCTGTCTTTAAAAACATTGATCAGAAAGGAATGATTTTTTGCATTTCTCTGGAACAGGGTGCTATGCAGCTGAGCTTTGTGCAGTGACGAAACTTTGCAACTTTGTTGTCCGGTACCATCCGCCATAGCCACATGCTGTTACTGATGACCATCAGTGTGGCTGATGTGATCTAGAAACTGAATTTTCAATTGTATTTATTTCAGATTGAATTTAAACGGCCGCATTTGACTAAGTGGCCACCATATGGGCTAGGGCAGAGCTGAAAAAAGAGTGTTGATTCCACAACAGCTAAGTGTTGGTTGAAGGAGTTTGTATGCCACAGCCTTGGGCTGTGAAGTCCTTGAGAGTTTAATTACAGTAGATAAGAGGACTTTGAAGGCACTTTTCTTTAGTAAAAATTACAGTAAAAACTAGTCACATAGATTCATGGAGTTTTCAACAATTGACGTTTAGATAACAACAATAGGGACCTTGATAGGGCAGGATACTAATCCTGTGGGATTTGGAAAGTGACCAATCTTAAGGGTCCTTTGTAGCATCTTTTTTTTTTTCCTGAGTAACTTGAAATGAGAGTTGGTGAGGTCCTTTCCTGGATATGAATTGGGCTTTCCTTCTTGAAAAGAGAGGGGGAAAAAATGCAAATACATTGTCTAACAACAAAAAAGAAAGAAAGAGCCTTAAATATAGGAGTTTTTAAAATGTTTCTGATCGCCACTGATACCTAGCATTTAAAAGCCGCAAGGATAAAAAATAAAATAAAAGCCGCAAGGATGTGGAAAAGTAAAGCAAAATTTCTGAACCTTTTATATTTTACTATGTGTACATCTCCTTTTTCCTCTCCTTGCTGCTAAGCTAAATCACTTTCTCTTTGTCTGGTTTTAGGATGCTGGAAGAGAAGGAAGAGCCAGGCTTTCTCACTGGTTTAAAGATTCCTGCTCCATGGGCTGCTGGGAAGACTGTGGAAACAGTCCACCCTGTCAGAGACAACTATAAATTTAAAGAAACTGTCCACATCCCAGGAGCTCGCTGCCTGTACCTTAGATTTGATAGCAGATGCTCTTCACAATATGACTATGACAAAGTAAGCAAGACTGGCTTTGTACTGGCTCCACCTCCAATAAGCTGATTTCTTAGATGCTTCTTATTTTTCTTTGCTCCTGGTCACCATTCTTGACTTACTTCTGTCTGCAGATGTCTCTTTGGAGAACTTTAAGATCTGCCTTGAAGGGTAGTGGTTGGGAAATGAAAGAACCAGCAGCTCTGTGTTCTAAGAACCGTATTTTCATGACATGCTGAAAGTGTACTTTTGTAAGCTTTCAAAAAATTTAGATCTGAGTCAGAGGAAATTTTCCTTACTGCTTACCTATTGCCTTCCTTCTGTGCTTGGAATTCCTGTAGACAGGCGATGTCCATTCATCTAGAAAGTTCTTACTGCCCAATTCTGGGGCTTCTCATGTATTCTTTGGGAGAAGGTGGCCTTTTAGAAGAGTTTCAGATGTGCTAGGATCTGTTTTATTTTTATTTAAGTTATTTTTTCTTTGTTGTCAGCACCTCCGGGCCCATGTAGATTTTGAAAAAGAGTAGTTTCCAACCTAGTGGCTTAACAGTTTTAAGTGAAAGGAAACATTTGAGGGGTTGTAGTATTTTTTTTCTGTTTATATTGTTGCATTGCAAACTGCCATGTTGAACTCAGGAGGAAAGGTGAATGAACTTGTGACACATAACCTTATACAAGAACAGCTGAAGGATTATTGCATAGCTTTGTACATATACAGGACTACATTTATGTAGATTGTTAGCTATCCGTTGTCTCCTCTGTGAACTGTATAAGGGCAAAGATCTTAAATCCCTTCCGGGGAGATTCGTAAGTGAAAAATAAAGGACTTCTTAATGGTATATACTCTGAGATGGTGAGACACATCACTGAGCAAATTATAGAATCCTCTTTCCCATCATCTTTTAGGATAGTGAAAACTCCCAGGTGTCCAGAGGGGTTTAAGGTTTGCCTCCAAAACTCACTTTAGCTTGAGGCAAGAGAATTCAGAAAATGGTCTTTGGTAGGCCTTTCAGAGAATAAATCTCCTGCCATCAGCCTCCCCCTCTTCATAGTTCCTGTCATCAGCTACCCCCATTTCCTACATTTAAGTGCTATGACTGTTTAAAATAGAAATGGAGAGATTGGCATATCAGTTGGTGTAATTTTGTTTCTCCTTTAAAACCAGTAATGTGCATCTTCTGACGTATGCTAGCCAGCACCTGCAATGGGCATCAGTGCTCAGTGTGGAGGCACAGGGAGATGTACTCCACAGATAAAAGTAACATTTACTTTTCCAGTGGTCCTGGTTGGTGTCAGCAAAAGGTCCAACAGGGTAAGAGAGCACACCATGATACACGTCAAGGGTTAGAAGCATAGCTTCTGGATCCACACTGAGCTCTCTTGGGTAGTCAGAGGTGGTCAGAGTGCATGTTCGAAGACAGGATTTGGTATTTACAGAACCCAGAGCCTCATTCTTCCAGTGGAAGTATTTGAATGCCAAATGACCTCTAAATGTTTCTCCTGCATATTAGAAAGTTGGTTAATTGGATTTAAATAAATAATCTTTATTGAAGAAAAGTATTGACACGTGAAAACTGACCCAAGAAGCTGCAGCCCCCTTTCTGGCCTAAATATGTGTCATTTTCTTTTTATACCATTAAGCAACATTCTAAAGATATATGGCTTATTTTCCATTTGTTGCATTTTTAAAAATCCTCATTCATTGACTTTTTGGTTTTTGTGTATGTGTGTGTGCTTTTTTTTTTTTGCCTTTATTTCGTTGTGTTAGATATAACCATCTTTCCATATGTATTTGCTCACTTTATTAATTTGGGGGAGGACTGAAGGGGACAAACTGTACCTGTTATTAATGAGTTAAATGTCATTACTTGGCATTAAAATCACTACTTAAAACATATATGTATACTAGCTGGGTAGAACTATGTTAACATGAGGTTCCCTAGGCAATTAAATCGTGGCAAGAGTCATTGTACCCAAATTAGTATCAGTTGTGCCTTAAAAATCAGGGAATATTAGTTCTATAATAACGACACCAGTGCCTGGTTATAAATATGTTTTTGAACAAACTTTTTTTTGCAGCCTTTTTATTTGTAGATGTTGTTTTTGTTTTTCTTTTACAGTCTAACAGTGTATTTTCTGTTTTGAAGTTGGTGATATATGCGGGGCCTAACACAAACAGTAGGAAGGTTGCTGAGTATGGAGGCAACACACTGGGATATGGCAGCCGTAGTGTCTTAGGAACTGGCTGGCCCAAAGACTTGGTGAAGGTATGGTATCCAGTCAGATCCACTTCCTAGAAAAGAAAAATGAACTCCCATTCCCTCTGGCCCTGAGTATTAACTCCAATTCCAGACAGAAACATTGTCTGTGCGTGCTTTTGTTGAGCTGGGGCTGTCTTGCCAGGCCTGGAAACTCACTACCTCGTTCAGAATGACCGTCCTTTAACTTGTAGGGCCTCAGACCCCTGTCCGCTCCAGAACTGGGATCCATTCTCCAGGGACTGAGTGCTCACAGCATTTCCTTCCCTGTCCATTAAAAGGCCTGCTAGTTCTTCCAGCTTGCTTCTTCTCTGCCCTCTCCTGTGATGGGTATCCTAGAACCACAGGGCCATTGCAGTTTAGAAATGTGGAGTCAGTGTTTTCAAAACGAATTGGGGCCTCTGGAGCAATACTAATGATCCATTCTCAAATTGATGAGATACCAGTCATGCTTTGTAATCGGGGCCCTGGAACTACAACATATCTACCTAGAATATGAGTATGAACTGAAACGCCCACTAAAACCTGTAAACCTCTCCAGAGTCTGTCTTGGAGCCTTGATCTCAAATGCATTACGTATCCTCTTTAATTCAGCCACAGACAGCAAGTTACGTCTAGGCGTATAGTCTGGATGTATCCAAATCCCCGTCAGCACGACACTTTTAATTGTTCTTTCATTTCCTACATTTTGTTTCTTACTCGTGGTGTTGGTTCTGCAATACAGAGCAAGGTCTTCCAGCACTCTGTGTTCTTCAAGATATGGGCCGTTTGCCTGCCCTACCAGGACAAGTGAGGTGGTGAAGTGGACAGGGGGAGGGCAGAAAGAATAGAAGTCTGAGGAATTTATTGAAATTATGCTCAAGATTTAATCTTTACTGTGATCCTGCTATTGGGCAGTCGTGGCCCATTTCACAGATGCCTCGTCCCCAGACCTACCTGGTCAGGAGAGACACCTGAAAGGTTGGTGTCCAGATGAGAGGGGATGGAATTTGAGTCAAGCAAGTGATTGAGAAAAGGAGTGAAATATTGCTGTGGTCCTTTTGAAAGTAAATCTCTGAAATTCATTGCTCTCTTGAAAATCATGTGTCTTGTTTTTAAAGTGTATTTTCCCCCCCTTAAATTTTAAGGTGGAAGGAGATACAGTCACCTTCTCCTTTGAAATGAGAAGTGGCCGTGAACACAACACTCCCGATAAAGCTATGTGGGGCTTTGCTTGCACAGTTCGCGCTCAGGTACTTGAATCTAACCACTGCTGTGGGCATAATGTACTTTCTCCTGTGTGCCTCGGTTACATACATCATATTTGCCCTGGAAACAGGGCAGAATATGAGCTGCGGTTTCATCCATCTCTTCCATTTGGCATTCGTAGACTATCACAAGTAGTAGTTTTTTGGAATAAAACTAGCTGTGACCTAAAATCCATTCAACAGCACAGAAAGAATCCATTGCTAGGGGCTCCGTCTTCAAAGCCTGGAGAGGTGATCTGCCTCCAGCATCTTTCCATAGGGCGAAGAAGACTCGAACACCTAATAGAAGTAAGCACTGGGACTCTGGGTTTTTAGAGTAGTGGGATCAGATTTTCATTCTATTCTCAACGGCTCATCTTGCTAGTCTAGGTCTGTCTCTGCTTAATTACATGTGTTACATGCTGTATATGGGTTTAATCTACTCCTTTTAATGTTACCAAATAGTTACTTTCCCCCAGGATTCTAGGTAAATTCTTTTCCCCCCTGGGGTTAAAAAACAAAAACAAGTATTAGGAGTTCTTCTAACCCCTTCAGTTGCCTGATTTGTAAAACCTATTTTAGACTTGGAGATTGCTTGAGTTTAACCAAACTAACACACTCTAGAGTGAAAGTGTCTACTAGAATGAAAGCTCCGTGAGGGCAGGAATCTTTTTTCTCTGCTGTATCTCAAGCACCGAGAATGATACCCTCAGATATTTGTTGAATGAATTCAGTATAAGGGATTGACAATATCTTGGTTCGAGCACAGGATGGAGGTGACAAGGATAGGCACAGCAGAGAGGAATCCATCCAAAGAATCCTGCATGAGATTTGTGCTGTCTCTAATACGGAGTCTTATCAGCTCTTCTCTCTCCAGAATTGTGTTGAGACTTCACTCTGTGGTCATTGCCCCGTGCCACCATCTTTCTCCTCATGGTGTTGGGGACTGTCCTTGTGTCCGATAGCAGTGACACATGATGCTGCTCTGTGAGCCCCTGTGGTCAGTGCGGTGCAGCCCAGGTGCAGGTGCTCGGCTGTGCACACTGACCAGTGTGGTTTGCCCCTCTCTGCGTTGTAGGAGTCGTCGGAGGATGTGTCGGGAGGCTTGCCCTTTCTGGTAGACCTGGCTTTAGGTCTGTCTGTGTTAGCTTGTTCCATGTTGAGAATCCTGTACAATGGACCAGAAATCACCAAAGAAGAAGAAGCCTGTCAGGAGCTATTGCGGTCCAAACTTTTACAAAGGTAAACAGGCTCAGATAGGACTAGTTTTGCTCACAGAGGAAAAAGGACTTCGTGTGGAAAACTACTTTTAGTACATTTCCCAGCTCATTGTGCAGACTGCCTGACAATCCCATAGGTGTCATTGTCATTAAGAAAGAAGGTGAAAATTACAGCAAAGTGCCTTCTGGCCCTTACTTTACTAAATTTGAAATTACAGCCTTGAGTGCATAAGCTTTTCTCCAACCCACATATTGTATAATTAAATTAAAGGATCCCCAAAAGGAGGAGTAGATGAGTGATAAAGCAAACCTATCAAAATGTTTATTCTAGAATCTAGGCGGTGGGTATATGGGCATTACCCAATGGATGCTTTCAACTTTTCTGTAGATTTAAAACTTTTCATAATAAAATGTTGGGGAGGAGGTAGATTCCCAAAGATGTGGTTTCATTTAATGCTCATGTTCCTTTGGCCTCTGGAGAATGTTTGATGAATATTTAACACGTGATGTGATCCTTCGTATATTTGATGTATCTGCAAGCTTTCCATGGCTTTCCAGTTGGAAGAGGAAATGAAGGAGCCTCTTTTCTGTCTGTTCAGGTGCCAATGGCAGGTGGAGGCCAATGGCGTGATCTCTCCTGCCCTTACTCCAAGCCCATCTCCACTGCCACTGACCATCGAGGAAGACAGAGAATTCACCTACCCCTGTGACGTCCTCGTGCCTCCCGTTGGAAACTACTTTGACCTGCCCCGGATCAGGCTGCCTCCAGGAATCATGATAAAGCTCAGGGAAATTTCTGGGCGTGCTAGACCTCAATTCAGACCAAGTATAAAGTATGTTGCTAAGTAGTGCGCTATTTTTCCCATTGGGGAAAAAAAAAGGTTTAAACAATGGGAGGGGGTAAATTTCTTCTCCTGGTCTAGCAAATGAACCTTTAATTTTACATTTACTTAATGAACGCTAACCACGTACTCTGGGGAGTCCCCTCAGGTGGTATTCCAGGCCATTGGGTGTCAAGGTGTGGGCCCCCAGTCAGCAACAATAGCAACACCTGAACCCTTGTTAGCTCTTGGGCCCCATCTCACACCTGCTGGATCCGAACCTCTGAGGATGGGGCCCAGGTTTTGACAAGTTTTCCATAGGATTCTGAAGCATGCTGAAGTTTGACAAGTTCTAGGTTTTTCTCAGGTGGTTTGACTGTCTACTCGAAGTCCTCAACTTTGGTTTTCTTAGTCCAGAGAGAGATGGTGAGGGGTCTTTCATCTGGAGTGTGAGGTCAGGCACTTATAAATGTCTTTGTGGTCTTCTTGCTTAAAGTCTGTTTGGTGGCCTCTGCGCTGTCTTCTGAAGCATGATTGGCCTTCAGAGAGAAAAAATTTAAGGATAGTTGAAATTTAAAATGAAAAAATACAGAAACGCAATTCGTTTTCAGCCCAACATCCATATGTATGAGATACCACAAGCCATGGTACTGTGTAAAATTAATTGGCACATAAATGGTGGCAAAGATCTTTTGTTAGTCTTAGACCTCTTCCAGCTTTAATATGACTCTAGCTCAAAATATAAAATTAAAGAAAATGGAGTCTCTTTAAATTTGATTTTCACTTTATCAGCTGATGTCAGTTTTGTCAGTTAAACATACTAAGTTATTGCCAACTTGATATGAAAGCCATCATAATGTTCATGCCTCTTTATTGTAATAAAGAAGGTATGGTGAATATTTAATGTATTTAAATCAAAGCCTACACTCCTCAACCTACTGAATACAGGATTGGTAATTTGAGAGCATGGCATCTACCTGACTAGTTTCTATTGTAATCACAGAGAAGTGATTCAGCCAGACGTGATGGAGGAAATGGTGGTATCATGTGTTATTAAGCACTTGAACTTGGTTGATGCACTGCAGTCCCTAATAAATTTCCAGTATCAAGAAGAACATGCTGAGGAATATGACTTACTGTGTAAAATTATGGGAGAGACCTTCAAGAAACTCAATGCCATGGAGAGACAGCTGCAGGTAAGTGAAGGCTAACGTGTTTAGATTTCTCTCTCAAGTGTCGGAAATAATTTCTTTCCTAGAAATTTAATCAAGTTTAAAAAGTGACCTGAAGGGGCGCCTGGGTGGCCCAGTTGTTAAGCGTCTGCCTTCGGCTCAGGTCATGATCCCAGGGTCCTGGGATCGAGCCTCTCATCGGGCTCCCTGCTCAGTGGGGAGTCTGCTTCTCCCTCTCCCACTCCCCTTGCTTGTGTTTCCTCTCTCGCTGTGTCTCTGTCAAATAAATAAATAAAATGTTAAAAAAAAAAAAAGTGACCTGAAGTTTTAAAAAGTTACGACTAAAATTTCCAAGTTTGCAGAGTGCACTTGTTTTTATTTTACATCTCTTCTCATATTGTTTTGTTTTATAATGTATCTATCAGAGTGTTGCAGAATTGGAGCAGAAATGGCAAAGCGAGGTTGATGATGCCATGCAAGGGAAGCTAGAGAACAACATGCCTTTCTTCTATGATTACCATTTCAATGAGGTGAGCAAGTTATGTGATTTATCATTGGGGCATTGGTATTTACAGTGCAAAGGCACATATCGTGTGTGTGGGGGGGGCGGGGGGGTATGTGTGGAGAGACCAAATAACGTTACCTGTTAAAATGTTGCACATGCCAAAATGTACCCATTCTTTACAAAGGTTAAATAAAATTAGATCAGCATATCAATAACACAAATATAAGTTATTAAGTTGTTTTTAACTGATTGATAGTTTTACCATCATTATCAAATTTTGCTTGCCAGCTTTAGGAAATGAAGGGCAGTTATTTATAAGCACTGAAGAAGTCCCCAGAAAGTAGTCGATGCCATTTTAAAATATCAAAGAATAACTTAACAAATGTGCTCTGGCATAGAAATACGGACCAGAGGTGGTGGGTTTTTTTTTCTCCCCCTAAAATTCTCTGTTCCTTTTAACATGAACAGTAAACTCACTTTTTGCAGATCCTGCCTACCATCTTTTCTTGATTTTTCCTTCTTTAGAACAAAATGAAAGAACTAGAACTTTTGTGTTCAATGAGAGAAGTCTCCTTTGATGGAAATGATCTTGAAAACATGGTCCTATCGCTGAGGTTAGTGATGTTAAGAACTGTGTAAAGCTAATTTACTGCCTTGATGCTTAAGACAAAATGTGAAGATCTAGTTTCTTAATAGATATTAAAAATCGTATGCATTCACTAAATATTTGAGTTCAAACTCATTTGTAAACTTGGAAATTTTGATTTTGGCCTTCAAAAGTTAGCAGATAGGCATCTGAAACTGGACAAAGGAACTAAAAGTGGTCCATTTATAACCCTGCGCTCTCTGCTAGGGAAAGGGGAAGGGGAGTGATGTTTATCAGGTTTCTTTTGCTTAGTTTCCCTCTATCTTCTCGTATCCTTTGTAATTAAAAAACGTTGGTTTTGGTGAACCTGAGAACGACTAAATGCACATCAGCCTTTCTTTATAGGGAGAAGTTCCTGCAAGAAGTGAATTCTGTCATACAGAAACCCTCGCACCCACTGGCGAAAACGAAGACGTTGGTGAAGAGTTTAATGAACCGAGCCGAGCTGCTGTTGCATGTCACCATCTCGGCCCAGCCTGGCCTCACGAGAAGCATCTCGGGGACCCCCGCAGAGACACCGGGTACAAAGCCAGCCCCGAGCGGGCGCTCCATACTACTCTGGTCATAAAATACACGTCAGCTACTGAAAGAAAAATCACTCTTGTGTTCTTCTAGGAAGGAGAAAGAGAAGTGCCAACATTTTTTTAGTTTGCCTTTTACTTTTTCCAGCCAAGAGAGACTTTTCATTGAATTCATGTAGTGGTTTGTGAGTCAGCTGAGCATCAGGGGTGTGTCCCCACCTGCCTCATTCAGCATTTCTTGGGAGCCCAGTGACGTCTATTTTTATAATCTAGTGCCCCTTTGTTTATGGCTTGTCATTTTCATAGTAATGTGTACAGTGAGATAGTCAACATTGTGAGTCTTGTAATGCATCATATTTTCCTCTTAAAGGTGAGTTTGCATTGCACCTTTAGTAATTATGTGGAACCTCCTAACATGAATTTTCACTATTTTCCTGGTCACATTTTAATTGTTAGCCTGAAAGGACATTTCTCAAGGAAATAAATGAGTCTTCTTTCTTTTTTTTTTAAAGATTTTATTTATTTATTTGAGAGAGAGAGTGAGAGAGAGAAAGAGCACAAGACAGGGGAGCGGGAGAGGGAGAAGCAGACTCCCCGCCGAGCAGGGAGCCCGATGCGGGACTCGATCCCGGGACTCCAGGATCATGACCTGAGC